GCTCAGGACCCTGTGCCCTTCTGCTCCCTGCCCCCTCGCTGGGTGGCACTGGTCCCTGTCCCTTTTTGGGGTGTGTGTCCCCCCCTCCAGCCCTCACCCCATGTCCCCCAGCACTACCTGACGGAGATTGAGGTCCTGGCCATCATCTTCGCTGCCGCCATCCACGACTACGAGCACACGGGCACCACCAACAGCTTCCACATCCAGACCAAGTGAGGGACGTGCACAGCACGGGCGGGGGGGGGGGGGGGGGGGGGGCAGGGGGATGTGGCACCGCATGGGGACACAGCACAGGGATGTGGGGTGGCACAGGGATGTGGCACGGCACAGGGACGTAGGGTGGCATGGGGATGTGGGGTGGCATGGGGACGTGGCATGGCGTGGCACAGAGAGCAGAACAGGGGACCCGTTGTAGGGACACGTGGGACGCTTTGGGGCAAGGAAGTGCTGCTCGTCACCCCGTGGTCATGGAACAGATGTGCTGGAACCACGGGGTTCAGCATGGCCCGGATAGAGATGTTCTGAAACTATGGGGCCAGCAGTAGGGTCAGGACACAGACTGACACTGCTATGCGGGACACCGAGCAGTGCCACCACGTGTCCCCACCGTCCCCTCCACCCAGGTCAGACTGTGCCATCCTCTACAACGACCGCTCGGTGCTGGAGAACCACCACATCAGCGCCGTCTTCCGCATGATGCAGGATGACGAGATGAACATCTTCGTCAACCTCACCAAGGATGAATTCGTGTCAGTCCCCATCCCCACCGTCCCCATTGTCCCCGTTGTCCCCGCCATCCCCATTGACCCCCTTGTTCCCATGGTCCCCATTGCTCTCGCCGTCCCCATGGACCCCACTGTCCTCATTATCCCCACTGACCCCCTTGTTCCCACTGTCCCCATTGCTCTCGCCGTCCCCATGGACCCCACTGTCCTCATTTTCCCCACTGACCCCCTTGTTCCCACTGTCCCCATTGCTCTCACCGTCCCCATGGACCCCACTGTCCTCATTATCCCCATTGTCCTTGCCATCCCCATTGGCCCCATTGCCCTCGCCGCTCCGTTGTCCCCCTTGCCCCCATTTGTCCCCGCTGTCCCCATGATCCCTGACAGCGCCGTCCCCTCTCGGCACAGGGAGCTGCGGGCTCTGGTCATCGAGATGGTCCTGGCCACCGACATGTCGTGCCACTTCCAGCAGGTGAAATCCATGAAGACGGCACTGCAGCAGCTGGAGCGGTGAGCGCGGGTTCTGGGGACGTGGCACCGGGGAGGGGACACGTTTTAGGGCCAGCGTCGAGTCCCGGATGCCCTCCCCAGGATCGACAAATCCAAGGTGCTTTCGCTGCTGCTGCACGCGGCCGACATCAGCCACCCCACCAAGCAGTGGGCGGTGCACAGCCGCTGGACCAAAGCGCTGATGGAGGAGTTCTTCAGGCAGGTATGGGCCCCCCCGTGTCCCCTGGGGCTGAAGGGGGGGGGGGGGGACCCCCACCCAGGGGGACGCTTTGGGGACACTCGGTGCCTCGGCAGGGTGACAAGGAGGCTGAGCTGGGGCTGCCCTTCTCGCCCCTCTGCGACCGCACCTCCACGCTGGTGGCCCAGTCCCAGATCGGTGAGCGGTGGTCGCGTCCCCCCCAACCCCTTCCCCAACCCTGGGGTGACGCAGCCCCCGCCCCACGTCGCCGTGCCCTTTCCCCACCGCAGGTTTCATTGACTTCATTGTGGAGCCCACCTTCTCTGTGCTGACCGACGTGGCCGAGAAGATGGTGCTGCCCCAAAACGAGGATGGTTCCAAAGCCAAGGGCAACCCGGCAGGCGGCCAGCAGGCCAGGTTGGGGGGCCAGCAGCCACCCCCCATCTATCCACCAGGCTCAGCTGTGTGGTTGTGCCTCGGTTTCCCCTTCCCCTGAGCGGTGGGACTCAGCCTTGAGGGGGGAACCCATCGCATTTGGGCTACGGGGACGCATAGGGTGGGGGTGACAACTGGTGGCTCTGCCCCCACAGCTCACAGTGGCGACAGACATCCCTGGATGAACACCTGGAGCTTGGGGACATCAAGGCTGACCTGGCCAGCTTCCGTTCCACCTGGACCAAATACATCCAGGAGAACAAGCAGAAGTGGAAGGAGAGGGCGGCCAGCGGTAGGTGACAGCCACCAGAGCCACCAAACATCCTTTGGTGGTGTCCCATGGGATGGTGACCCGTGGGGAGGTGACTTCCAGAGAGGTGACCCGTGGGATGGTGACCCACAGAGAGAGACAACCCAATTCGAGGTGACTCCCAAATAAGTTGGGTTTTGCTCATCCCCGGGGACCCCCTAAGCGTCCCCTTGCCACCCCACAGGCATCACCAACCAAGTGTCCATCGAGGAGCTGTCACCCTACGAGGAGGAGCCCCCCGTGCCCCCCACCCAGCACAAGCACAATGGCGAGGTGGAATAGCACACGGCCGAGGTGGGCACCCAAAACATGGGGGCGCCCTGGGGGGCTGCAGCTCGTTTTCGTGCCCAGCCCTGAGCGTCTCCTTCGGGGTGGCAGGTCCTCATCCAACCCAGTGATGCCGTTCAGTCCAAAGTCTTTGATGCCATCGACTTCAGCACCATTCGCAGGGAAGGAGCCGCCGGGGTCCGTGCCAAGAGCATCCCCCGATGGCAGCGCCGGGTCCTGGGGGGCCGGGACCCCCGGGATTTCCTCCCATCCTGTGCCAAACTGTCCGCCAAGCCGTGTGGTGCTGATCCACGGGTGATGGTGATGCTGAGCCTCTCACTGCCGCGCCGGAGGGATTTGTCCTTATGGCTTTTTAGAAATCTGCTTCTCGCCCCGCAGGGGGATCCAGGTGTTGGGGAAGGGGGTGGTGGCACCGCGGGGGGAGGCAGGGGACCGAAGGATGGAGGAACTGTAAGGGGTTTGTTGTCACTTCGGGCCCCTCTTTTTCTTGCTGGGTCTGTGCTCACGCTGCTGGGTGTCCCCAGGTGTCCCCCTGTGCCGTCCCCATCCCGTCCCACCTGCTTGGAGATGGCAGATGCTGAGATCTGTCCCTATGTTGAGCATCTCCGGCGTGGGGTGGCTTCTGAGTTATGGCTCTCCTGGGTTGGGGACCCTCCTCTGTGGGGCCCGGCCCCAGGGACACCCCAAGGGCAGGGAGCTGAGGCCAGCCGAGTGGAGGGGGGGGGGGGGCAAAGTTGGTACCCACAGTGGCCCTGAGGTTCTTCCAGCACCCCCAGTTCTGTGCCTCTAGCCCCTATGGCTGCAGTGTGCCGCATGCACTGCTGCCCCTGCTGGATTTCCAGTCCCCCAACCCGGCTCCAAAACACCCCCAGGAGACCCCGCTCCCTCCGGCATCCTGGCACCGGCGTGCTTCAGCATCCTCCAGCATCCCAAGCTCTGGTGTGCTCGAGCATCCTCTGCATCTGGGCTCCACTGTGCTCGAGAATCTCCAGCATCCTGGCTCCAAAGTGCTCCAGAACCCCAAACTGATGCCCTCTGGAACCTGACTTGGAGCGCTCCAGCATCTCCAGCATCCTGGCTCCACTGTGCTCCAGCATCTCCAGCATCCTGGCTCCGACCTCCTCCAGAACCCCAAACTGGAGCTCTCCATCACCCCCCTGCACCCCCTTCAGCTCCATTTTACCCCAGCACCCCCCAAATCTCCAGCAACCCGGAGCATCTTCCAGCTCCGTCGTCCTCCCCCCTTCCATGGTGCCTGGATCACCCCACGGCTCCGGCCCGGCCCTGTACATAGCCCAGCACACAGCTGTGTGTCTTTGTACTTTTCTACCATGCGGTCACGTCGTGCCTCCATCACTGCTGGCACAGCTCCGCCTCGCGCCCGCCCGCACACGCATGTGAAATCAAGAGCAGCTGCTAACGAGCAATTAATAAACCGTACGCCACCGCCAGCCCGAGCTCTGAGCCGTGAGGGGAGCCGTGCTCAAGCGTTGGGGATCAGGGATGGAATTGGGGGGGGGTCCTGGGCTTTCCGTGCAGCCACCCGGTGCTGAGCAAGGAGGAGACGCTGCGGAAAGGATCCGTTTAATAGCGGTGTGGCTCAGCTCTGCGTGCACTCGCGTGTTCACGTGTGTGTGTGTGTGTGTTCAGGCGTGTTCACGTGTGTCCATTCGTGCCCGCGGCGGCTGTGTGCGCAGTGCAGCACCGGTGTGCCATCGTCCTCCCTCCCCTCAACGAGGAGCTGTGCCCCCAGAATGGAGCACGAGGGGACCGGGGGGCTCCTGGGGTCACCCTGGTGGTGGCAGTGGGGACACAGAGGGGGTTTTGTCCCCATAGAAAAGGGGGGGTGGGAAAAGGGGGGGTGAGGAGGGGGGGGGGGGGAGATAAAAAAAATCCATCACGAACGCCGTCGGAATCTTAGAAAACGATTGATAGAAAAAAAGCAGGCGGCGCTTCGGCTCCAACGGGGGCAGCAGCACCTGGGGACGGAGGGACAGAGGGACGTGTGGGGACAGGGACAGCGGGGGGGAGGGGGGGGGGGTGCAGCCACTTCCCTGTCTGCTGTCACCCCCAGCTGCCACGCTGTCCCTGTGCACCGGATCAGTGCCCCCATGGTGTCCCCAGTGCGGACACACAGCACCCCAGTCTGCAACCCCAGAGTCCCAGTATGTCCCCAAGTGTCCCCGTGTGCACCCAGAGCATCCCAGTATGTCCCCAAGTGTCCCAGTATGTCCCCAAGTGTCCCAGTGCGCACCCAGAGCATCCCAGTACACAACCCACATCCCAGTATGCCCACCCCCCAGCCCCCCAGCATGCTACCTGTGTCCCACTATGCACCCAGAGCACCCCAGTATGTGCTCACAGCATCCCAGTATGTCCCCAAGTGTCCCAATGTGCATCCAGAATGTCCCAGTATGTCCCCAAGTGTCCCAGTGTGCATCCAGAATGTCCCAGTATGTCCCCAAGTGTCCCAGTACACAACCCACATCCCAGTATGCCCACCCCCCAGCCCCCCAGCATGCTACCTGTGTCCCACTATGCACCCAGGGCACCCCAGTATGTGCTCACAGCATCCCAGTATGTCCCCAAGTGTCCCAGTGCGCACCCAGAGCATCCCAGTACGCAGCCCACCTCCCCGTATGCCCCCCAACCCCCCAGCACGTACCTACAGGCCGCCAGCAGCTCCCTTTCCCCCCGGTGCTATATGAGTGCCCTCATCGCCCGGACTTCGCCGCTCATCCCCGTGGGTCCCTGCGGCGCAAATTGGGGTTGGCTGAGCGCAGACCCCGACCCCCCCCCCCCCCCCTTCAGCTCCAGGGAAGAAGACAACGGCGGTGGCTACTCACTGTCACCGGGGCCTGGGCCGCCCTGCTGTGTTGGCTGAGCCTGGGCCAGCGGGCAGCTGCCCCCAGGGCTGTGGCTGTGCTCGGTGTCACCGCGGTGGCAGCAGCCTGGGCTGTGCTCCTGGCCTCCAGCAGCCACCTCCTCGTCCTCCTCGCCCCGCGCCTGCTTGCACAGGTGGTGCTCCACCATCATCTGCAGCTCTGCCAGGCAGGGAGCGTGCCTGTGTCCCCGAGCCCTCATGATGTCCCCTCTCTGTCCCCCCACCCGGCGAGCTGGGCGGCCACCTGTCCCCATTGGTGGCACCTGCACGCCGTGGCCCTGCATCCCTGTGTCCCCAGCTGTGTGCTCCTGCCCCCTTGGGATCCTCTGTGCCACCGAGGAGGTGGCATCACAACTTGGTCACCCGCGCGTCCCCAGTGGCACCCAGGGAGATGTCACCTGATGTCACCTCAGGTACCTTTCACGGTGGGGGTGGTGCAGTACACCTTCTTCCTCTGCCGGGGGGACACGGCCAGACCCGACTGCAAAGCAAGCAGATGAGGGGAGGGGGAGGTGATGCGATGGGGGGACACCTCAGGGTGCTGGGGACACCTCAGGTCATCGCCTACCTTCAGCAGGGCGTTGGGGAGTCGGTCCTCATCGATCTCTGGGGACAGCATAGGGACAGAAGGAGCGGGTGGTTAGGGGTGGTGGCACCCATGGGTGCTTGGTGACCCCCGGAGCGCCCCCATGGGGACGTATGGGGATGGGGACAGCGCTGCTCCGGGACCCGCTCAGCATCAGGAACAAAGCACAGCGACAACCGACACCTCAGCCCCATTCCTCTGACGGTGACACGTCGGGGGTGGGGGTCCCACAGCCGCCCCCCATGCTGTGAAATCGGGCTGGCAGGGGCCGCATCCTGACCCTGTTTTGGTTGTCCCGGTGCTGTGACGAAAGTAGCCCCAAATACCCAGGGACAGCATTTGGGAACGCAGTGTCCCAGCCACCCCAAAAACAAGA